ACTACTACTACTACTACTGCTATACAGGTAATCAGAAGTGTGCACTTCGCCTACCAGAATGGCAAGAACGTCACTTTGCACAAGTTGCAAGAAGCTTTCGTTTCCAGTCTGAGAAAATGCTGCGATCCGAAGAGAACTTCTTTGCCTGGCCACCGAACGCTGCAGTACTGTGCTGGCAGGGGAGACTGGAAGTGGAAGTCCGAGTGGTTGCAGGAGCTGCACGACTACAGCCAGCTGAAGCTCAGGCCGGGTAGCAGTCGCACGTTTTGCAGAAGGTGCCGCTGCACCAGCGACTTGCTGAACCGCCACTGGTTGGATGCCAAGCATTTGAGCTGGCACGAGCCTGAGCTGGTGGCGCAGCATCTGGATGAGTCGATGCCGGCAACACTGCCGCTGCGGAGCCTTCCAGGGTACCATGCCGATATGGAGCAGGCGGACACGCTCCACAACCTGTGGCTGGGCCCTGCCAAGGACACTCTGGGCAGCCTTTTTTTGGATGTGGTACAGTTTCATCCTCAGTTTACGGGCCTCAGCTGGGAGGATGGGCTGCAAGCACTCTGCCTTCGACTTCACGACTGGCTCTCGGAAGCTTCCTTGGATCGCTCATGCATAGATGAGCTCAGATGCTCGGACTATATACGTATGTTTTCTTTTCACGGTGCCCCGCCCCCCCCGCCCCCAGAAGTAAAACATATAGAACCTTAAACTTGAAACTCTGAACCCTATACCCTATAAAGCCCTGCATGCAGCCCTATAAAACCGCCAACCTCAAACCCTCAAACCGTAAAAACAAAAACGCAATGCAGTTGTTGGCCACCCCTTTGCCCAAAAGGCCTTTCGAAGCTTTCTGTGGATGCGCTGCGGTTCGACTTCCCGCAAGCCTTTTCCAAGGCCTGGAGCAACCGTGTTGGACTGGCTTTTGTGGCCGCCTTTCTTCGTGACACACAGGTGGACGAACTTAAGGTGCCCGCGACGTGTGCCTGGGCGGTTACGCAAGTGGGCATCACGATGGACAGAGCTGGAGTCTGGTTCAGTGAGGCGGAAGCCGCACAAATGGTGCAGTGTGGCTTGCTTTACGTTCAAAGCCACGTCTGGCTTGCTAGGGAGGCACTGCTGGCTGCCCGAGCTCGCTACAAGGTTCGCCCACGGCTACACTCCTTCTTGTGCGAGGTGGGAGTTTCCGAAAATTAGGAGTACCTTTATAAGGACCCTATACTATTTAGGGTACTATACTAGGGTCCCCCATTTTCTGAAACCCCCAGGTAGTCATGAAGATCCATGAAGGGTCGCGGCTCAACCCTAAATACACGGCCTGCTGGTCGGACGAGTCCTTCATCGGTCGTGTCTGCGCGATCGGCAAAGCCGCCGCTGTGCATCCTGCCAGTCTCGGCTTGCGAATGCTTCAGAGACTGGAGATGCAGCTCAACGCACACTTGGCCGGGGAGTGAGAAAAGGACAACGGGACCGTGCAGTGGTGTTTCAGACTCTCTCTCTTGCTC